TTTTTTTTTTTTTCGCTCACAAAATGTTGGCACTTGTTTTGGAGAAGTCTTATTGGAGAAGCTAATGTTTTTTACAAATAGGGGAAAAAAAAAAAAAAAAAGCAAATTAAAAAAAAAACATTTTATTATATTATGGAAGGTCATCCATATTATATGGACGATCGTCCTTTTTATATGGACTTCCATCCATATGTTATGGACGGGCATCCGAAAAATTTGTTTTAAAATTCTTGTATTCATTGAAAGTATTAACGGGCGTCCATTATATGTTGACGCCCATCCACAAGTTAGGGACGCCATCCACTTAATAATGGACGGGCGTCTAAAAATTTGTTTTAAATTTTTTTTTTTTAATTTACAGTATGAACGCGTCCGTTATATGTGGACGCCCGTCCAAAAATAATGGACAACCATTCATAGGTTATGGATGGCCGTCCCTAAATAATGGACGAGCGTCTACATATAATGGACGCCAGTTGATGGACGGTCGTCCCTACCTTGCGGTATTTTATTTCAAGTATGGATGGATGTCCATTATATGTGTAAGACGGAATACATGGAGAATGATGCATGTGATACTATAACATGTATATTCATAGTTTGCAAAAAAATTCAATCAAATTGAAAATAAATAAGGTATAACATGTTACCTTAAGTCCTTAGCAACCTTGGAGACTTTTAATTTCAAGAGAAATTAAACAAAAGAGTATCCACACCAAGGTAGAAGAAGAATTAGGCCAAGAGAGATATTTAGGGTTCTTAGAGATGTTGATCTCTACCCTAAAATTGATATATCATTTTCTTTATATATGAAGCCTTGTAAACAATTCAATAATTATTATGAAGTTGTTAAACTTCTTTAAATAATAACATTGGATTAACATTTAATCACAATTAACAATTTAACTCTTAAATTGTTGACATAACAATTTAACCGTTAAATTGTTCATATGTTTACAATTACAACCCATTATTAAATCCAATTTCATATAAAGAAAATGATTAATTATGAATTGGAATTCTATTGAATTCCAATTAGCAATTTAACTCTTAAATTATTCATAATAACTAATATAACCCTCCATTGAATCTAATTCAATGATAATAATATAAATAACTTTATTACCCTTGGTAGGTGCTAGCCAACCTTGGATAATCAACTCTTTTTGGCTATTTATCTATTCTCCTTAGTTTTTATGTGTGACCTCTTAGGTTCACTGTGGCCTAACCATGGGCCCAATATCATAGTCTATTTTCATAAATCTTTATGAATAAAACTCCCACTGATTATGATAGGCATCTAGCAATGCTCCATAACCCCTAAGTCACAATGAAGATATATTCCAACGAGCCCTTTTACAATCATACATGTTGTACAATCAAATCCTTCCGTTGTCTAATCCCAATTAAGAATGGATTCATGGTATATCAAAATCCTTATCTTAATTTTATATCAAATTGACAATCAATACATATGGAACGTGTTACGAAGAAACAACCTTTCAAGTAACATTTTATATACCCCGGCCGGAGATTTTCCTTTTCCAATGTATCTTGACATTTGTCTAGGAACTTGATATCAATCTATACCAAGTCAACGGATCCCCTTTTGACTATCACTTGTCCTCACACATAAATAACACATGGCCAAATCGGCTTATTAACACATGACATGATTAGCCTCGTGTTTATACAACATATGAACCATATGCGTTTATGCAAAATCCAACCGTGATATCTCAAGTCTAAGGATTAATAATACACTAGTACGATCTTATGATAAATCATTAACTACATTTTAAATGTCCATGGATTCATCATAAATGTCCATATTTGATAAACAGTTCACTAACCGCTTATCCATGCTAATGCCCTAGTGATATAACTTTTATAATTATGCACACTAATACCATCACATGATATTCTACGGAGGCATTCAGCATGCCTACTATGTAATATTGTTGCCCAATTAATATTAACTATATAGGGAATGCTTTGATGATTTTGATCTTTTAAAGATTTGTATTATCCGGACATTTCACATGTAATACATATATATAAATGAAGCAATAAACCACATGTGAAATAAAAACACTTTCTTCTATTAATAAGATAAAACGTATATACAAAATATATACATTAACATATATATATATATATATATACAAAACATAATGCCTTGGAATCGACGACACGATTGGTCCCTATGGCATACACTAACAATATGTGGACGCCCGTCCATTATTTAGGGACGGCCGTCCATTATTTTTGTTAATGTGTTTTTTCCATTTACTGATGAACGAGCATCCATATTATGTGGACTCTTGTCCATAGAAAATAGACTCCTGTCTATATAATATGGACGAGAGTCCATTGTAACTGAACGGTCATTCACTCGCAAAATATTTGGTAATCGGATACGTGACTGGTCTGAGTCACGGGACAAGTAATTCGATGTATAGTCCTGGTGTCCGTAGCATTATTATTTTGTTTACAGAAAAAAAATAATAAAGCTCAAACGTATGCCTCGCTCTCATATGCTCAACCAGCCCAATTTGTCTTGTTGAAGGATAAATCTTGGAGACGTTTGTCCTTTTTTTTTTTTTCGATTGCTTGTGGTAAATCAGTGACAATGTAGTTTGTTAAAATGCTTTATCAAGCACTAGGAATAGGAAAGCATTGTTGACAAAGATAACGCACTGATTGTCGGTACTCATATTATGATCAACAAAATTTCAAAATATGGCAGAGAAGATTAAAAGTGGCTCACACGTGACACCACCTCCACGTGCAATTATTCAAAATATTCCTAAAAAAATTTGTATTTTCAAAGTTTACCTTTTTATCTTATTTTCGTAAAAAAAAATTATTAAACTTTAAACCCGACAATGTCTCTCACCAACATCAACCCATCCTCCACATCTGAGAGAAAATGCATATTTATGGTTCCAGAGTTAAACTTCAATTTGAATAAGGTAAATCTTTTTTGTATTTTTTGGTTAAAAAGTCAAAACTCCATTATTACATTGACATATATTTGCCTCTTCAGGAAAAAGAAAAATGGTGATCGGGAAAACCATAAACAAGAGAGTTATATTAATACTAAAAAACTTGGCCAAATATCAGGCGAGGATGATTTTTTTAGTACTTTGAGCTTGAAAATTCCATGACCGTCCTTTGAAAGCTCTGAGACAAAACGTTGGGATTATAGCAAGTACCCCCTCACAGTTTCGTCTAATTACACACAGAAGTTTCGTCTAGTTACACACAAAAGTTTCGTCTAACTGCGGTGTTTCTGTGGAAATAAGGCTGTGGGTAAGAGGGAGGATGGGTATATTTACGTTGCTTTTCACGTGGAACTCAAATAATTTAAAGGGATGATATGATGCAATTTTGTGAGGCTTACAGACGTTTTGAAATCATCAAAATTGAAAATATATAGATCTCTCTTACTATTTTTCGTCTAAACTGATTTTCAATTTTGAAAATTTTTTTATTGCAGATTCGATTTCTCACTATTATTGATTCTGTTATTTTAGTTTATGATTTTAAGATTTATCTTATTAACTTTTGTTTTTTGGTTACATAATCGAAGTAAAGAATAATCCAGGAACTTTAGATATGGTTATGTATTAATTATGACCTTTTGTTTTAGAGGTATAAAAAATTACAGATTGTATAGACAAAAAATCATATTGGACATTGTTAGACTCAATGAAATAAACATTGTATACAACCTGATGTCTTAGTCCAATCGTAATTGGGTCCACTTCCAAATCCATCTTATGAAAAGACCATATAGCAAGATGACCCATTCTATAAGAAAATGATCATTCTACGGGTTGACCCATTTCATGAACTAGTCAAGACTACAAGTCAACCCTCTCCATAAGTTGGACTACTCTACAAGTTAGATCACTCTACAATTAAGGTCACCCTTCAAATTAAGCTAGCCTACACTTTGCATGTATTCATTCCAAAATAGGGCTCTAAGTCCCATATACTTCATAATTCATCCAAGATTCATAATCTTATATGAACTAGTGTACCTAATCCTCAATGGATGAGTATTATAAGTTTCATGTTTACTCGAACTCCTATTATGAGAATGTCTAGTTCTATAATAATTCAAGCTTTCTTGACTCACTATATAAATAGAAGTTAACATTCTTATTATTTAACGCATAGTTAAATTGATTATAATTTAACTCAGGATTTTTGTTCAAGGTGCCCGAGACATATTTGGGTAAATTTAAGTAAAACAATGGAATTAAATATGAGAAAAACTTGACTTGGATTATGAGTGTTTTTTTAGAAAAAAAAATTATTGGTAGGTTTTTATGTCCATAGATCTTATATCAGTAAATCACAAAATACAAATATGACAATATATTATTTATGACAAATAAATTCAACATCAACAACTCGTAGTTAGAGTCCTCATAATTTAACTCAAACTTTATCTTTCTAGTGTATAAGGGCCTTGGGAGTAATTAAAATTAACCAGGTTTCTATATCTTAGGTTGTGGTGTTGGCCCAATATGTATATTTTTTAATGGGAATTGGCCCGGCCCTCCTTTTATATGCCTTTAACTAATATATATGTGAACAATTATTAATTGCAGCTCTTTTGTCATGTGAAGCCCACAATCAAAGGTTTTGAAGGAAACTCTTTATTTTGTACCAATAAAAATACCAAATGCTAAGTGGACAACCTTTTCTCACGATCCTTTATGTAATAGATCATCATCGATTGTCTCATAAATGGGTAATGGGACTCATACAGGCAAATAAGACCTATTTTGTGAACCGATCAATGGCAAACTATCATATCAAAGATTATGAAATTAAATTATACACCTAAGCATTATTTATACTAATTTAAAGTTTATGATAATAATGAAAACATCCCTCATGCTCATTATTAATGTGTCAACATATTACGATAGGACAAGAAAGAATATAAGCCTCATAATACATGAAGATATTTTTGAGGGATAGATGATAATTAGAATCTTTCAAAACTCTAAATCATTGGTGATTTTTTTATTATATTTTTTTTTTAATGATGCTTCCAACATCTTCTATTTTCAGGAGATTCTTATACAAAAGTTGAACAGAAAATTCACGGGAAAGAAGATAAGGAAGAGACTACCCCACAAACTGAAATACTGGAAATTCCACTTACACTTTTCTTCCTTTATGCCTTTGTGCGAACGTGGCTGCATTCCACTAATCACTGTTGCCTTTATACTTTTTTGTACATAGGACAAAAGAGATCAAACAGAAGAGCACGGGCATGACCCTCAAACACATGCAAAAGAGAAAAAAGAGGTCGGCTACTCAGAATTTAGGTCTGCTCATTATTTGGGTGCCAATAAGGGTCAAAATGCAAACCGATTGAAGAAATTAAAGGCGGTGCCCTTGATTTCGTGATTTTTATCTTCACAAAATGCCCATGTACCACTCCATATTCAAGCCTGTGGAGTTTCTTGTGCCCAACTGTGCTCCCTTTTGCCACTAGTTTACCATCAACGTAAACTTCATGTTCTTTGATCCTCTGACCAAGCCCAATCGCTTCTTGAATTCTGATCACATTAAACTTCAACCCTTCTTGATCTTCAGCCTTAATTTCAATCCAATAATCATCATTTTTGTTATCTCTTGGAGCCCAATATGTCCACAAATGGTCAGAGTCTAATACATTTTCCGGTCCAAAACCACCGTCTTTGCCTCCTCTAACGCTACTAGCTTTTGTAGTGCATTTGTCAGCTAGATTTGCTGAAAATATTGTGTCAATGGCCTTTCTAAATTCTCTCAATCGTTGAACGTCAATTTCAGATATTAACCCGGTTGAATTCGGAGGAACATTGAGTAGCATCACACAATTTCTTCCCACTGAATTATAGTAAATCTTAAGAAGTTTACTTAGCCTCTTTGGTGATTGTGATTTATGCCAAAACCATCCAGTTCTGATTGAAACGTCACATTCAGCTGGCAACCAATCTGTCCCTCTTGGATCACCTCTGTTTATATAAAAAAAAAAAAACTTTACCAATCAATAATCACAAAGTGTAAGTCTTTATGTGTTTCACATGTTATCATTTTCTAAAGGTAAATCACCACTGTAAGTGTTTTTTCTTTTCTAAGAAGTAGGAAAACACATTGTCACGACCTAACAATAATTTTTTATTACTTAAACCGTGAAGTTGACGTATCTCTTCTCATTGAAATGTGAAAACAATATCAGCTTAGAGAAGATATTAAAGGATGAAACGCTAACAAGAAACCAAATTTCCACCAAACTTGATAAAGAACCAACAACTAAGTTTTAATTGCAAACAGCTCATTTCAGATAATACTGTAATTTGCATGATTTGGTTAATAAAAAATACTCACTCAACGATGCTTCCATTTCCTATTGATAGAGATGTGCGATTGATGGTCGACCAGCATGTGCTTCCGGCGAATCCTTTTTCATTACCAACCCATCTAACATCCGGACCCGCATCCGAAAATACGTTAATGGAACTCTGCAACTCTTTCACCATGGCGAACCACTCTGTAAAATAGTATGACATGTTAACCGCATTTGGACCCTTTGCTCCATCGAACCATATCTCCCTCACGTTTCCATATCTACCAATAATAGATGCCACGTATCAATCGGATGAAGCGGATTAAAAAATTAACTTATTTTTAACAAAGTAGAGAAAATTGAGGCACCTGGTGAGTAGTTCTTGCATTTGAGCTAAGTAGTATTCATTTTACTGCAAATCGTGGCCATATCTCGGATCATGGCGATCCCATGGAGATAAATACAATCCTGCATCGACTCCGCGAGCTTTAGCCGCATTTACAAACTCTTGTACCACGTCACCATGTCCATTTTTCCAGGGACTAAGTTTGACAGAATGGTCAGTATATTTTGAAGGCCACAAGCAAAATCCATCGTGGTGTTTTGCAGTAAGTATGACAAGAGAAACTCCTGCGTCCATTGCTGCACTGATCCACTGGTTGGCATCGAGCCCGATTGGATTGAAAATAGCCGGGTTTTCTTTCCCAGTGCCCCATTCAGAGTCGGTGAATGTGTTAACTCCAAAGTGGAAGAACATTATGATCTCTCTTTGTTGCCATTTAAGTTGAGTATAAGATGGAAGTGGCAAAACAGGCAATGGTGGTGTTGTAACTTGCTCACGTCGAGAAATAGCAAATTCTAATAGTTGAAACAACGTTATTGTGAGTAAAAAACACAATAACTTAGTCATAATCATCTGATTATGGTTTCTCTTTGCTCAATAATTCTCTCCCTCTCTATATAAATAGAGGAAATTATTGAGAGAAAACTTGCTTGGTGGAGATGGGTTGTATGATAAGATAGGGGACCAAACAAAAAAGGGGTGCAGATTCTTTGGTGAACTAGAGACAAAGCATAAAAGAAATCTGAGTGTAACCAATCTTTTGTTTGGAATTTGTTTTGATTCTTTTGTGTGTTCTGGTGGGCTTTTTTTACTGTTCTTTCTGCTACTATCATTCACGGGTGGTTATTTATTTCAAATTTCTAGGTTATTTGATTTCGAGGAAGATGTAGTTACCTTTTTTTATGGTGAAATCTATTATCTATATGTAAGGAGATCAATTGGTTTTAAATTGTCTCTAAATTTTGATCTAATGTATTAATGAATAAAATAATAATTTTATTATTACAATCAACCTATAAATAGTAATTAATTTTGCTCAATCTATTCTCCGGATTCAAGATCAATTATTAATTGATAAACCAGTAATTTTAGGATCTTTTTTTGTCAATCATTTTTAAATGGTAACCAACTCTGAATTACCTAAATATTTCCTTAATTAATTTATTGGAGGTTTGAAATTTTTTTAGGTATGTAAGCAGCTGGATCTCTTTCACATCTTTCTAATTGTTCCTATTAAGAGTAAATAAAATAATTTTTTTGAGTATGTAAGCATGACGAAAGGCAAATCTGAAAGGAAAATATCAAAATTAATTGTATATATCTGGAAAATCTTATTGAAAAAGTGATGGAGGATCTTTAATTTATGTGTACAAAGACAGTGTTAACAAATTACAAAGTATTTTAAAATGATTGCTTTAGAAAAGAGAGAAGTGGTGAAAACGGAAGGAAAATACAAAAAAGAAAAAATATCAAACGAATATGGACTTGGTCAAAATAAAGCTTATAAACCCACTGATGTCTTGAAGTGTCGGTGCAATTTACTTAATGATTCTTCTTGCTTCATGTCTTTCTTTCCAAGGAGAAAGAAAGACATAAAGTCTTGCTTTTACTCCTTAAAATATTGCATAAAATTAAGATACGAATTCACTTAAAAAGATTTTCCATCCTGCATTTCGGGACATAAGCGTTTGGTGTAAGGCGAGTATTAATAATGCATTCATTGTTCCACGTTTATCAATAAATGAGATTTCTCTTATATAATTAGGTTTTATTATGTCAACAAAAAAAAGTGTGAATATTTTTAAGGAAAAGATCCTATCAAATATTTTATACGTTAATAATACTAGATTTACAATCTTACATAAGAGCTTGTCATTAGTTAATTCATAAATAAATAAGTAAAACCTATTTTACAAACTGATCAATGATGAATTGTCACGTTAAAGATTATTATTTATATATGATAGTTTTTATTTATTTTATTTTATTTTTAAAACACAAGGGCCGCACTCTCGTACACTCAGTGGGCTTAATGGACTACTTTGTGGACATCATGAGGTCTTTCAGATTTTGGTATGTAGCCTTATTGATAAATCAAAAATAGCCCTTAGAGACGGTTTAGGGCCTCAGATTTGCACGTCTTGTTTAAATGACTAAAAGATGACAGTAATGCTGACTTTGACATACCGACCTAACTACCCAAATCTCAAAATTCATGAATCATGAGGCAGCCTTTTGCACATAAAATAACTCTGCCTTGCATATCAACCCTGTAGAATTAGAATTTGTAGAGTTAAAATTCTCCACCGAAAACTACAAGTTATTTCTTTGAACAAATTTATTTCGTTTTTAAGTTCTGAATGATTTGTTTTAGAATTCTACGTTTTTACTGTATTGAACTAATTAAATTAAGTCTTCATGACTTGAGGTTTCTGTAATTTTTGCAATGCCATTACAGCTGAAAAATTACCCCACATGGTCAGAAGTTGTTGAACTTGCCATCTTCTGGACGGGAGATTGGATCTTGTAATCATAAATGTATCAAAGTCAACTACAAGGGAAGGTTAGGCACCTTTCAGATTTATTGTCACCAATGCATTGTAACTAAAATTACTCTCAAAACACTTAAAATCAATTTGGCTTATACAGGTCCTGCTTCAGCCCCATTTAATGCATTTTAGAAGGCCAAGATGAAAGAAATTAGCAGTGATTTTCTTTTCCTTCATGTGCCACTGCCAACCATTGCCATTGCCATGACCTTTTGGATCAAGCAATAAATTATACTGAGCTAGAACATTAAAGTACAAACGGTCAAAAGTATCAGCTTATCTGCAGCAGCAGTACTGCTTGCATTACTCGCCTTTTCGTGAAAAGTGAAACAAAACTCCATAATTGCTGTAGTCAAACTTCACTCTCCTCTTTCTAGAAATCGGTTTACCTCTTGGCAAGGCTTGTTTCGAGTTTCCGGTGGAAACTAAGTGTCATTAAGTTTCAGTCTCAACTAACAATATTTATGGCGTTCAGTCTGGAATTTAATTTTTCTTGCAATTTTTTTGGTTCACGTTGATATTTGAACAGCCATTTGACTGACCATACAGATTGCTTTTCAGTTAATTATTACTAGAATTTTCTTGTAGTTTACTGAATTTTTTTTCTGCCAACTGCAATAATTTTACAGTTTGTTCTTTAACTCTGGCTCTGGAGAGTCAAGAGTCTACACTACACTCCATTTAAACTCTCAAACTCTGCTGGAATCAGTACCATACCCTTTCTTCCTGGTTCCTTCTCTCTCAAATGGGGTACTTTTCCAATGTCAACCAAGAAAATGTTTTCAAAAACATAAGCACTCTCCCATCCATTATGTCATCTTTTAAACACCTGCATTCAGCTCTCTTGGAGCTCCTGAGATTTGGAGTTCTAATACTTGTAACATTCATTGAAGCATTCTTTATCTTTGAACAGTGGAAATTCATTTTCCATTTCATTTTGTTAACTTGTTTCCTTCTTGTTTACGTTCTCCGATACTATCTGATGTCAAAGCCTCAAGCTGTCTTCCTGGTAGATTTCTCATGTTTCAAGCCACCTTGCTTCTGCAGAGTGCCATTCTCCACCTTTCTTGAAAACGCCTCCATGATTGAATATTTTGACAGTGAAAGCATAGCTTTCATGTCCAAAATCCTCACTTCTTCAGGACTAAGTGAAGAGACTTATCTCCCTCCAGCCTTACACTATATTCCTCCAAAAACCCATCAGCAAGAATCCATTAAAGAAGTCCAAATGGTTCTCTTCCCTATAATGGAAGACCTTCTCTCTAAAACTAAACTCTCTTCTCGTGATATTGACATTCTCATTGTAAACTGCAGCGGTTTTTGCCCTTCACCCTCTCTGTCTTCTATTATTATTAACAAATACTCCATGAAGAGAGACATTATGAGCTATAATCTCTCTGGTATGGGGTGCAGTGCTAGTGCTCTGGCAATTGATTTGGCTGAAAACCTTCTCAAAACGCACAAGAACTCCTACGCCATTGTTCTTAGCACCGAAATATTATCCACAGGTTGGTATTCAGGTAATGAGAAGCCCAAGCTGCTCATTAATTGCCTCTTTAGAATGGGCAGTGCAGCAATCTTGCTAACAAACAAAAAAGAAGCAAAAACATCATCAAAATACAAGCTTTTATGCACAGTTAGAACCCAAAGAGCCTTTGAGGACAAGGCTTATCTGGCCGGAATTCGCGAAGAAGATTCTAATGGAAAACTTGGGGTTACACTCAATAGGGATTTGCTACAAGTAGTCGGAGAAACACTGAGAGCGAATATCACCATTCTCGGTTTCAGAATCTTACCTTTTACAGAAAAACTTTTGCACGGTGTTTCGATCTTTAGGAAGAAGTTTATTCAGAAATCTGGGGAAATTTACGTGCCAAATTTTAAGAATGTGATACAGCATTTTTGCTTGCCAGTTTCAGGGAGGCCATTGATAAGGGAGATAGCAAAAGGCATGAAGCTTAGTGAGAAAGACATGGAGCCTGCTTTGATGACATTGCATAGATTTGGTAACCAGTCGTCTTCTTCACTGTGGTATGAGTTAGCTTACATGGAGGCTAAAGAGAGACTGAAGAAAGGTGACAAAATTTGGCAACTTGGAATAGGAACTGGGCCTAAGTGCAATAGTGTAGTTTTGGAGTGTCTAAGGCCCATTATTGGGGAGTCCAAGAAGGGCCCATGGGCTGACTGTATTCATCAGTATCCAAACATGGGGTGATGATATAAAGTTGGGCTTACTTTACTATGACTATAGTCTGCTATTAATGTGTTTTTTTTTTAATGTACAGTCACTGGGCTTAATTTGTAACTTCGTGTACATCATGAAGGTTTTCAGACTTGGGTCCTGCAGCCTTGTTGATAAATCAAATATAGGTCTTAGGGATGGTTTAGGGCCTCAGTTTTGCTCTCCCCCTTTGACGCCATATGGCCGAACAGGCAACCTTTGAAGAGAAGCTTCGATTTCCAACGAAAACTATTGTATTATTTCCTTTGAACGCATTTGTTTGGTTTCAAGTTCTGAATAATTTGGTTTATAGAACTGTAAGTTTTGACTTTTTAATGTCCTGACTTAAGGTAAACAGTTGAAATTTACTACATCATTTCACCTTTAGTATTCTACAAAATGCATTGGGGCTGAAAAATAAAAATCCGAATATTGTTCTCTCTGTTGTACACTCTCTTTTGGTTTTGATGAATATAAAATAAAAAGAGAGATAAAATAAAAAGAGAGAGACAGCAGAAGGTTATTCATAAATAATTGAGAAAACAATAATTTTGCAAATGCCTTTAAGAGGAAGGAAAGATGATCTAATAATTTATAAAGTTTATAAGGGAGAGTTCTATTCTAACAAAATTGCAATGAAAGTACTTGAAAAAGCATCTAAAACAGAGCACTTGTCTCATATTTCTTTGAAAAGTAATTCAAGTGACTGCCAATCTGGTTCCCAATAAGAATCAAAATGCAAACCAATAGAAGAAATTAAAGGTAAAGCCATTGATTCTTTGATTTTGATCCTCACAACATGGCCATGTACCACTTCATTTTCAAGCCTGTGGAGTTTCTTGTACCCAGTTGTGCTCCCTTCTGTTGTAGAAATAAATGTCTGAAATGCCGTTTGAATAAACAAGGTGCCCAGGAGTAAATAAATGTACATGAAAAACGAATCAGAAGAATCTCCATAACCATTAAGTACCATTACTATTTTCTTTGGCTGGTGGTGCCTGCCTGCCCCTGCTCTGCCTCTTCTTCACATTTAATATCATCAGTCATCACAGCTAGTTTGTTCCTGGACCACTACTTATCCTTCTTTTCTTTTCATCTTTTATTTTTTAATAACCAGAGGTGTCTAAACCAGTTTACGTGCACCTTAATTAATCTTTCAAGACTCTGAAACTGTCAGTCGGATAAGAATTTTAGTAACTATTCCTATTAGCAACCTAGAAGGGATTAAAACTCAAGACCTTTTGAATAATATACCAAAGAGTCGCTGTCGAACCACTCCACCACTCACATTTAGTTTCTTTTCTTTTTCACCTTTCATAACCATAATTTATTATTCCTAGATTATTTATTTCACTTCACATCAAGCTTAGTTATGATAATAATTGCATGTCATTAATCGATTTATAATTATATTTTAGGCTAAGATTGAAATAATTTCCAGCATTGCAATGTGCTTTTGTTGTGGGTGATAATACAATTATCATTAATTAATTACCAAGTACATATGAGAAATGGTTAAATCTGTGTATTAGAGAGGTTAAATACGCTTCTACTTTAAAAGGTTTTTAGCCAAACAAAAGTTGGAAATTGAAGATTCAACAAGGATATGAACTACCTAAAGGGTGTGTTTGGTTTGGGGTCATATAAGATAACAAGGGTAATCTTCGTTTATTTTACAAGATTTCGTTGTTTGGTTTACAAGTAATAAAATATTACGGGTATTTTTTATTGTAAATAGTATTTACTGTTGGTAATATAAGGAGTAGTTAGATACTCTCCCGAGGGGCTATTATTAAAATATTACTAAGGTAATATGATTTTTATACCTATTTTTCCTTTAATTAAATACGATTTTAGACAAAATTGCTCTCAAATGTCCACCAAATAACAATTACCCAGCCCCCCTACATTTGAGAAATTAGCTAAAACACTCCAGCCACAAAATGTTTAAAAGTTAATAAAATACCTCCAGCTACCCAAAACTACTGCCAACCGTTGGCGACAGTTGCCGTAATGGCGCATGACCGACAGGATTTGGCCTGTCGTGCACCAGTAAGGTCGTTTCACAACCAAATATGTGGCCATGAAATGGCCATAGATCTAGCCTTGAAACGACAAGCGTTTCACGGCTAAAGATCTGACATTTTCATAGCCAGATCTATGGTCATGATATGACCACATCTTTGACAATGAAATGGCCATGGATTTGTGATCATGGTCGGAAATGGCTTTACCCGTGCACGGCCGACCATATACAGGCGGTCATGCATCATTTCGTCAATTACCGATGACGGTCGACGATGGTGGCTAGATGCCGACAATGGCTTGGGGTGGGTGGGGGTGATTTTATTACAAATTAAAGTTTTATATGGCTAGGGTGTTTTAGCAAAATTTTAAATATAGGGGGTTAAAATAATGATTTAAAAAATAATAATATATTAATATTAAAAAAAAAAAGTAATTTAATAATCTATATAATATATCCACTCATTTATCCTCCCAACCAAACATATAGATATAACATATTCATCAATTTATTTCAATCAACCAAGCATATTTCTTTAAACATTTTCAATAATCTTTAAAGTGATATATCTTTTCACTAATATAACATCCTCTTATAATAAAACATTATATGATCCGAAAAAGTAAAATTTATTGCTGCTCTCGATAGATAGGGAACATTTTAGTGGTCTTGGTGTCATCTTCTTGTAAATTATTAAACAGAAATATTGAGTATGACCAACCCCACCGACCCAAAATCGATTGAATTGTCACTTCAAATTAGAAAATGCCCTCTGTTCTATTTTTATTTAGTAATTCTATTATACAAGACAAAAGGAAATGAAGCCCTTGACCCTTGTTTCATTATCTTAGTATTGATGAACTCAAATATCTAAAGTGAAGCCAACAAATGCAAAGAAAATTTTGACACTTTTTCCTTGAAGAGAAGAAAGTCTAATTTTTCATTGTTTTTATATAGGTTTCCAAAGTTGTATTTCAATTTACTCAACGTTTCAGATCTCTAAGCCGTTTCTTGCAAGAGAGTTAACCATGTCTCTCTTTTACCTTTCCAATACCCTCACTTCTCTTAAAGATTTGGAAGTCAAGTAAAGAGAAGAATTTTAGTATTAAAAAGAAGAGTGCAAGGGTTTAATATTAATATGTCTTTTCAAAGTTTTAAAATCTGACTCGGCCCGGCCAGCTAAACCGGTCTAACCAAGACCCAAGGCCTTGGCTGGGTTGGGTTCCCAATTTTAACTATTTATAACTTATCAAAGCAAACGTTAGATTTATGGACGGCGATCAGCAAGCAATTGGTGGCTTGGATATTAGGGCTTTGAAGAGGAAGGACCGGTGAGTGGAAAGATGGCGACAAATTTGATTTCCAATGAATGATACGACCGAAAATTGAAAAAATAAGTCGGCGGCAATAGCCCGATTGGCGAGGTGAACAGAGGTGGGTTGAGAATTGAGATGGGTTTTAGTTAGGAGGCTGAGGGGAGAGTTTTCGTGGTGATGGGGTGTGATTTTGACGTTGGAAACAAGCCCTATTTGGCCTAGGTTGTCGATGTCGACGGTATAATTTGGGGTGTTTTGAAGGATTTCAAACCATTAGGGAATTGTGTGCAAATTTCAGGGGAGTTTTTGTTGGATTTCAAATCTTTTTACATGTTGATGTCACCAATTTGACTTGCCGGTCAAATCAGTTCAACCGGTCAACCCAAGACCTAGCCACTTTGCCGAGTTTCACCCAGAGCCGAGTTTTAAAACGTTGTGTCTTTTGACGTGCATTTGGGGAATATTATTTTAAACATTAAGTTTGAAATACACATGATCAAATGATATTTTTAAAAAGGGGGATGTTCAGGGAGCAAGTTATTTAATGTTCAATTTGAGTTCTTCTTTTTTCACATGCACTAGGTTTAATCGTAAATTATATGGAATGATATTAAATTATTGTGTTTTTCATGCAATTTATGATTTTAATTATGTTTTCTCTTTATTACTTATTCTGATTGATATAACTCCCACCCAAAAAATCTTTAATATAGTGGAAGAGCTCAATATCAACACATTAAATATGGTATTACTTTTACCTACTAACTCTATCACTTATTCTGATTGATATAACTCCCACCCAAAAAATCTTTAATATGGTGGAAGAGCTCAATATCAACACATTAAATATGGTATTACTTGTACCTACTAACTTCCGCAATCGCCATCAAAATAAATCATATCCCACCCAAATAAACTTATAAACAACAAAATTCCCAATGCAAAACAACACAGACTAATTTGAGAAATTAGAAAATGATCTGTATTGAGCGGACGGTGTGGAGACATGCATCGTGTGAATATGGGGACCATATCATCGGATACCTGCAAAAAAAAAAATAATAATAATATAAAATCCTTTCAAGAGCATTATTGGAATTCTGTACGTCAATTCTTACTTTTAATTTCATCGTTCAACCAACGATTTTATTAATTTTTATATTATTTTACTTAAAATAAAATAAAAGTCATGCTGATATACAGTACCACATCCACTTGCGCATAGAAATTTTTGTTACTAGAACTGTACTTGAAAATGTTTTGGAAATTATTTGTGGTGAAGAAGCATTACCCATTGAAATGTCTTTGTTGGGATCCAAATATTTCCTCGATCACAACAATCAAAAGAACAAAGAAAACTAGAAAAGCTGTCCCCCAGAGGACGATAACCCATAATAACTCTCATCACTTAAGTTGAAAGTTAAGACTCACCAACCAAACAACGGCGAAAAAGCTGAAACCAGATTCAATCTCCAAAACCCATTTCATTACTGTTATAAAAATATCTCTTTGCGGTCAAGCTTTTTCTTATCAATAAATTGAGTTTCTTGACCCAACTCTCAAGTAACAGACTCCTCTGCTAGTAAAACAAGTGTCCCCAGAGGCCAGAAGAATAAACATGAAATGTATTTGAAAGAGAAAGTTAATACTTACCACCATTTTTTCTCATAAATATAAATGTTATAGTTTATAATTGACCAGTTTATATTTAGTTAGACGAGATTTATTATTGAACAAATAAAATTAATTATGAACTGACTACTTACGATATGTTATATTTATTAGAAAAGTTACGGGTTTATGATTATAGTACCACTGGTACACATATTAACTTCTGTCAGCTCTTATAGCTAGACCTCTTCAATTTGCATTCACGATTCAAACCAACCAACTTTATTACCTTCAACAACATGAAATGGTTGATTAATTAAGGCCCTCTCCTACCTTCTCTTAGATATTTCAATTCTCAAACTACTACCTCACAGAACCCACCTTCTTATTTCTATATCTTTAATTTGCTGCATCTGTCTCAAAAACTGTTCTTTGGTAGCCTTCGAATGGGAGAAAATCCTGTAACAAAATGGTTTTTCCTCATTCTCATGAACTATCTTGCCTTCCACAATGGTTTCTCCGCCGGTGTTTCATTGACAAAGAAGACTTACATTGTTCAGATGGATAACTCTGCAATGCCAGAATCGTTCTCCAGTCACCTTGATTGGTACTTATCAAAAGTAAAATCTGTTGTCTTTGAACCTGAGAAAGAAGGTGATGCAGATGAAGAAGACAGGATAATTTACAATTACGAGACTACTTTTCATGGAGTGGCTGCTCGTTTGAGTGAACAAGAGGCAGAGAGGCTAGAGGAAGGAGATGGAGTTGTGGCCATCTTCCCAGATACAAAATACCAACTTCATACCACAAGGAGTCCCACGTTCCTTGGGCTAGAACCAGAAGACAGTAACAGTGTTTGGTCTCAGAAACTAGCTGATCACGATGTTGTTGTAGGAGTGCTTGACACTGGGATATGGCCGGAGAGTGCAAGTTTCAATGACACCGGCATGACACCGGTACCGGTTCACTGGAAAGGAATCTGTGAAACAGGCCGAGGTTTCCAAAAGCATCACTGCAATAAAAAAATTGTGGGTGCGAGAATATTCTACCGTGGATATGAGACTGCGACTGGAAAAATCAATGAACAAACTGAGTATAAATCAGCTCGAGATCAAGATGGGCATGGGACTCACACAGCGGCAACTGTGGCTGGTTCTCCTGTACACGGTGCAAATCTTTTGGGTTATGCTCATGGAACAGCAAGAGGAATGGCCCCTGGTGCGAGAATTGCAGCTTATAAGGTGTGTTGGTCTGGGGGATGCTTCAGCTCGGATATATTGTCGGCAGTTGATCGAGCAGTGGCTGATGGAGTGAATGTTTTATCAATATCATTGGGTGGTGGGGTGATATCTTATTATCATGACAGTTTGTCAATAGCATCTTTCGGGGCGATGGAGATGGGTGTTTTCGTGTCTTGCTCTGCGGGAAATGGAGGCCCAGACCCCGTCAGTCTCACAAATGTATCACCATGGATCACCACAGTTGGCGCTAGTACCATGGATAGAAATTTTCCAGCTACTGTTAAGCTTGGAACAGGCAGGACTATTACTGGAGTTTCACTGTATAAAGGGCGGAGAGTTTTGACGGCAAATAAGAAATATCCTCTAGTTTATATGGGTAGCAACTCAAGCAGCCCTGATCCAAGCTCTTTGTGTTTGGAGGGAACTCTGAATCCAAGTGTAGTAGCTGGAAAAATTGTGATCTGTGACCGTGGTATTAGTCCTCGAGTTCAGAAAGGTCAAGTGGTTAAAGATGCAGGAGGTGTAGGCATGATTCTTTCAAATACGGCTGCCAACGGAGAGGAGTTAGTTGCCGATTGTCACCTTCTTCCGGCAGTAGCAGTAGGGGAGACTGAAGGGAAAGCAATAAAGAGTTATGCGTTAACAAATCGGAAAGCAACTGCAAGTCTTACATTTCTCGGTACAAGGTTGGGAATTAGGCCTTCCCCTGTAGTGGCAGCATTTTCATCAAGAGGGCCAAATTTACTTAGTCTTGAAATTCTGAAACCTGATGTGGTGGCACCTGGGGTCAACATTCTTGCGGCTTGGACGAGTGAAACAGGTCCATCAAGCTTGCCAACAGATCACAGGAGAGTGCAGTTCAATATATTATCTGGAACTTCAATGTCATGCCCTCATGTGAGTGGAGTTGCTGCCCTGCTTAAAGCAAGGCACCCAGAATGGAGTCCGGCAGCCATAAAATCTGCACTTATGACAACCGCTTATGTTCATGATAATACACATAATCCTCTTATAGATGCCTCATTAGCTGCACCCTCAACTCCATATGACCATGGGGCTGGACACATCAACCCAGAGAAAGCTCTAGACCCAGGTTTGATTTACGACATTGATGCACAGGATTACTTTGAATTCCTCTGCACACAAAAGCTATCCCTAGGACAGCTCAAAGCTTTTTCCAAGTATGCAAATAGGTCTTGCCATCACTCTTTTGCCAGTCCAGGGGACTTAAACTACCCTGCAATCTCAGTAGTGGTCAAAGCTAATGGAAACGTTTCTTCTATAACTCTTCATAGAACAGCCACTAATGTTGGGTCTCCAGTCTCTAATTACCGCGTTGTAGTTTCACCCTTCAAAGGTGTTACCACAAAAGTGGAACCAAGAAGCCTGAATTTCACCCAGAAATACCAGAAACTGTCTTACAAGGTCACCTTCACAACGAGATCTCGACAGACAAATCCGGAGTTCGGAGGTTTGATATGGAGGGATGGAGTTCACAAAGTAAGAAGCCCAGTTCTTATCACTTACCTGCAACCATTATAGACATGTAAGTGGATTTTTAACATGTCTATCTATCGATTTCACAAATAAGCAATGTGTTTTGGTATGAGTCATGGCACTCACAGGTTTGATTAGAATGCAATTTAACCCCTTTTGTTTCTAGCACTAGTAGTGATCCGGCAGCGGTCATATGAGTACAGATAAAATAAGCCCATTTCTTCTTAGAATATGCACCCATATTACATTTGTTTTTTGGAAGACATCAAAACATTATGATTTTCCGTGTCTGCAATGCCATGATCAAACTATATTTTCAATGTCAGTTTAAACATCAAAGTTGGCATGGTTCTTAAGATCCCGTTGATGCTTTACTCAAAATACACTTCCTCTTCTTAATTAAAGCTATTTCCGCAAATATTTTAAGCATTAATTGAGCAATTAAAACTACATAATATGATATGGTAAAATCTACTTTTATAAGTTGAACCAAACTCATCTAACTCATTTAAAGGCAAACACCTCTGTAAGCTAGCTAGCAGAACATACTTAAATTTTATGTTTTTCTTTTGGCCTGCAAGCAAATAAATTAAACGGGCATCATTCATTTTGCATTGGTTAACATTGTATCCAATCCATTTAAAGATCTGAAGACAACCCATTACATAACTCTTCAGATTGTATTTTAGTTAAAACGGAAAACAGATCAGCTTCAAACAATTTGACGCAGACAAAGTAAGAATCTAATATGATACACATGTATGCCAAATCTCAAAAAATTAAAGGCAATTTTAACATGTTAAACCTTCAATTACATGGGTGAAGCCATTATCGATGTAAAACTTTTATTTTCTGTTTCATGGAAACAATAAAAATGGAAACGTTCAGCTAATTACTTATTTAGAACCAAATTATGATTTCTAATGTATAACCCTTGCCTGTTTCTCCCAAGAGTGTGAAACTTGAGCAAGTTTAGTTCTAAACTGGTTAAAAAAATCTGCTGAAGCCACTTTTGGAATAAGAGTAATCAAATTTGAGTTAAGATTTGGATGCAGCCAGGAGTGTTGAAAAATATATTGCACAAATTGTATCACGTCAGCTTTAATAATGTCCCAACAGCCTTGAAAGAAAGCCCCACTAAACTCATCAGGACCTGGTGCGCTATGTGGATCCATACTGAAAATAGTCTTGTGAATTTCCTCTTCCGTGGGAATAGAAGTTAGAAACGAATTATCAGCAATTGTATTAATTTTGTTGGGCTGTACTTTATTTGTTATAAATTATAATCAAGCCCTTTCTAAAAGCGCGTAAATAAAAAGAGAGTCAGAAATTACATTTTGTGCGAGCTCCATCCAGGAGTGACCCATCGGAAGTCTTTCAATACCATGATTGGCACACCTTACCTCCAGGAGAGTCGTTATCTCGTCAATATAAGTGAAAGAGTGAACATTATCGAAGCCCAGCTCTTAGGCATATTCTGAGACGCGACCAAAAATGGGTTCTGGGCCTTCTGGCATGGTTTGACTATGAGTAAAGAGAGCTGACGCCGTAACAACGCATGACCGGCTGGATCTGGCCGGTCGTGCACTAATCTGTCCATTTCCAACTAAATCTACAGTCAAAGATCTTGTCGTCAACGGTCAAGATATGGTCATCGCCAACGGCCAAATCTTTGACCATAGATTTGGTTGTTTCTATCCAGATCCATGGTGGATCTAGTTGGAAAAGGCTAGATATACGCATGACCGGCCAGATCCAGTTGATCGTGCGCCATTCCAGTGACTTTCAACTACCACCCAGCTGTGGTGGCCAGTTGTCTGCAATAGTTTGGTGGGTGGGCATGTTTTTGTTAATTTATAAACTTTTATTTTATGGGTGTTTAGTTAAACTAACAAATTGAAGGGGTTAAAAAAAATCTAAATATTTTTAGAAAATATTTTCCAGAACACATTCTCAGAATCCTATCATATTTCATTAAATAGTATTCTATTATAGAATACTATTTTAAAAAGTAAAACAAACGCACTCATAGTCATTGATGATTATTTGTTTAGAAAATATAAAGGATATTGGGATAATTTGATGCAACCTGTTTTGAGTGTTTGAGAAAGAGTTAGAAAGAGTGGAGTGGTTTCTTGATGAAGAAAAGAGTGAAGCGACGTGAAGATTTTTTGGAAGTAGAGAAAGTGGGCTATAGGTAACCACCCCTTGTGACCTAATGGAGTGAAGGATGGAATGAGGAGTTAAAACATCAACGTGTCTTGGGTTCAAGTTGTAGCAAGGGCAAGGGATGGCCACAATTACCATACCCACAAAAAAAAAGTGGGCTATAGGTTTTAGGTTATAGGAAATGAGTAATACTACACTTATAAACTTTTCATACAAACTAGTGTGGCAAAAGTTGATTGGATGATTTTAAATTAAATAATTAAAAACAAATTTAACACCCAATCATCTTTTGCCATATCAGTTTGTATGAAAAAGTTTGTATAAGAAGTTTGTAAGTGTAGTATTATTCATAGGAAATGGTAGAGAGCTTGATGGGATTTTTTTATGAAAGCTTTCTTCATTATTAATAACTTGGTTCATACATTACAAGGAGTAAGGCAAGCACCTATTTATAGTTTGTAAAGTCGGTGGTTTTAACCGACTTGATAGATTCTAGAGCTCTCACTAATTTTCTACAATTTTTCTTATTTCCTATTTGTTTCATTTTCTTTATTATTAATTTACAAAAGTCTAAATGTTTCTAGAAGAAGATCCTACATCAACCTGGAATGTGTATAATATTTTATCACTCCTCCTTGATGCTCATTCTTGTGACTTCGATCAAGTCTCGTAATTGTTCAAACTATCCTCTCGGTAGTGCTTTAGTGAAAATATATGTCAGTTGTTCTTCAGTCTTGTAGTACTTGAGTTCAATCTCTTTGTTTGCTTATGCTTCTCCGATGAAGTGATATTTGATGCTTATGTGTTTAGTCCTGCTGTGAAACACGAGATTCTTCGCCATTGCTATTGCAAATTTACTATCGCAATTAATCTCCGTAGGTTTTTGTGTGTGTGTGTGTGTGTGTGTGTGTGTGTGTGTGTGTGTGTGTGTGTGTGTGTTTCTCTCATGTCTTCAAGTATGCGTTTTAGCCATATAGCTATACTTGTAGTTAATGTAGCTACAATATACTTTGCTTCTACTGATGACTATGCAACTGTTGCTTGTTTCTTTGATGCCCAAGAAAATATTCCTAAATCGAGTGTGAATGCATATCGTGATGTACTTTTCATGTCGTCCACGAATCTTGCCTAATCGTTGTCGATGTAGCCAATTAGTCTTGAGTCAGGTGTGAATTCATACTAGATGTCGTAGTTCTTTGTTTCTTGTAAGTATCTAAGTACTCGTTTTGTTGCTCCATGTTTGTACCTGTGTTAGACTTTGCATAAATCTTGATAGTAGACAGGTTGTGTACATGACATTTGGTCTTGTGGTTGTTAGGTAGAGTAGACTTCCAATAAGGCTTCAAAATTTTGTCTGGTCTACGCTTGGTGAACCATCTTCCTTTTTCAGAGCTTTGTTGCTATCGAGTGGAATAGCAACTGTCTTGCATCCTTCCATTTTGTTCTTCTTTAGTAGAGTTTCGCTATATTTCTTTTGACAGATAAATATTCCTTCTTTTCTTTAGCTTATCTCGATTCTAAGAAAGTAGTGCATCAAACTCATATCTGTCATTTCGAATGTGCCCATCATGTCTTCCTTGAAATCTCAAACCATCTTTTCGCAATTGCCTGTCTAGATAAGATCATCCACATATAGAGAGACGATAAGTGTGTTTTTTGTAACTTTGTCAGTCTTGATGTTAGTGTTGGCTCACTCTGCCTCCTCCTGAATCCTTGCTCAATAAAGTAATTGTCTATCCTACTATACTAGGCTCGCGGAGCTTACTTTAACTTGTACAAAGCCTTCCTCAACTTGAGAACTTTGTCTTCTATTCCTTGAACCATGAACCCTGGCAGCAGCTCGAAATATATCTCTTCGTACAGATAGTCGTTGAGGAATGCAGACTTCACATCTAGTTGGTAGATCTTCCACTTTTTCTATGTGGCTAGTGTTAGTGTATGCCCTAGGAACCAATCGTGTCATCGGTTCCGAGGTATTATGTTTTGTATATATATGTGAATATATATAGTTTGTATATACATTTTATCTTATCAATAAAAGAAAATGTTCTTATTTCACATGTGGTTTATTGCTTCATTTATATATATGTATTACATGTGAAATGTCCGGATGATACAAATCTTTAGAAGATCAAAATCATCAAAGTATTCCCTACATAGGTAATATTAATTGGGCAATAATATTACATAGTAGGCATGCTGAATGCCTCCGTAGAATATCATGTGATGGTATTGGTGTGGGTGATTATAAAAGTTATATCACTAGGGCATTAGCATGGATACGCGGTTAGTGAACTGTTTATCGAATATGGCCATTTATGATGAATCACATGGACATTTAAAATGTAGTCAATGATTTATCATAAGATCGGGACTAGGGTATTATTAATCCTTAGACTGAGATATCATGATTGGATTCTGCATAAACGCATATGGTTCATATGGTGTATAAACATGAGTAATCATGCCATGTGTAATAAGCCGATTTGGCCATGTGTTGTTTATGTGTGAGGACAAGTGATAGTCAAGATGGGATCCGTTGATTGGTATAGATTGATATCAAGTTCCTAGACAAGTCAAGATACATTGGAAAAGGGAAATCTCCGGCCAGGGTATATAAAATGTTACATGAAAGGTTGTTTCATGGAACACGTTCCGTATGTATTGTATTAAAATTAAGATAAGGATTTGACATACCATGAACCATTCTTAATTGGGATTAGATAATGGAAGGATTTGATTATACAACGTGTATAATTGTAAAAGGTTCGTTGGAGTATATCTCATTGTGACTTAAGGGTTATTGAGCATTGCTAGATGCCTACCATAATCAGTGGGAGTTTTGTTCATAAAGAGTTATGACAAAACATATCGAAATAGATTGTGATATTGGGCCCACGGCTAGGCCACAGTGAACCTAAGAGGTCACACATAAAAACTAAGGAGAATGAAGAAATAGCCAAAGAGAGTTGATTATCCAAGGTTGGCTAGCACCTACTAAGGGTAATAAAGTTATTATATGAAACATTTTCTTTAATTAAATTGGATTTTACAAGGGTTGTAATTGTAAACAATTTAAGGGTTAAATGTTATGTAACAA